CACTGCAGTGTAGACTCACACTGTACTGCACGACAGTTGGCAGAGCTTAAATTCTCATGATTTAGTATCACTTGTCTCCTTCAACTCACACAATTCAAGAGAGTTTCCCTGATTCCAATAAATCCAAAATCCAGCATAGAGAGGCTGAGTGAAGCTGGTCTGGACTCTGTGGAGGAGATTCATGGTCTCAGTGATACTGTAAAAAGACAGAATACCTGCCCTGCGATCCAAATACACTCCAACTGTGGAAGACTGAGGGCCTGAGAGGGAAGTTAAAATGTTTCCATGTCTGAATTGATAACTGCCATGTGAATATTTTAATGCCCAAGACTCGTAATTTGATCCCAATCCACATTTATTACTTGACCCACTATAGGAGTCATACTTCTTTGCAACACCTACTGTTGCTATACCAGTCAACTTTACCTCCCAGTAGCAAGGTCCATTCAGAACCTCATTACTCTGGACATGCGAGTTTTCAGAGTAATCTCCATATGACGCTTGTCCATACAGTGAGAAAGGCTTTGTTTCCGTCTTTGGACCAACAGTGATGGCACAAGAATATTTCAAAAATTCCCCTCTAGTTGTGGGTTCTTCTTGAGGCAGTAGCACATCTGCTTTATTCACTGCAACTATAATTTTTGTCCATTCATCACTCAGAAGATCCTTAATTTTATTTCTGGCCTGTAATACAGCCGTGGTCACACCTTGAAAGTACTGGAGAGTGTGGTCGTAGGTGCTTGGTAAATCTGTATATTTATCCAAATGTGACAGTGAGGAAAAATTATTAAGAAAATGGATATGATCCTCTGTTAGTGAGAGCTGCTCCAGTTCAGTGTCTTTCCTCCTCAACTCACTGATCTCCTGCTCTAGCTTCTCCTGAAGTTCTTTGACTCGAGTCTGTTCAGTTTTCTGCTTGGATCTGATCTTCTGCTTCACCTCAGAGCTTTTTTTCTTAATCAGACAGATTAAGTCTTTGAACAACTCCTCACTTTCCATCAAAGCTTTATCAGCAGAAAGACTGATGGCCTCCAATTCCTGCTTAAGCACGTTCACATCGCTCTCTCTGTTTTGGATTCTGTACTGGATGCCGTGTCGATTCCCTGCTAGATTTTTCTGCTTCTCAGCTCTTTCTGCTGACACTAACAGTGTAACATGGTCTTTGTGTTCATCCATTAAGCAGCGATAACAGATACACTGCTGATCAGTGTGACAGAAGATCTTCATCACCTCATCATGGTGAGGGCAGATGTTGTCCTGAAGTTTTGAAGTGGCTTCGATGAGCTTGTGTTTCTTTAACGGAGCTACATTGTAGTGAGGCTGGAGGTGATGCTCACAGTAAGAGGCCATACACACCAGGCAGGACTTGGAGGCTTTCAGCTTCTTCCCAGAACAGAAATCACAGGCCACGTCTCCAGGTCCAGCATAGGCATAATCAGACGAAGCAGCTGGAAGTCCTGCTATCTTTAGGTCTTCCACTAACTCAGCAAACATGGTGTTTTTCACCAGGGCAGGTCTTGGTATGAAAGCCTCTCTGCACTGGGGACAGCTGTGTGTTTCATTCTCATCCCAGTAGTTTTTGATACAGTCCATGCAGTAGCTGTGCCCACAGGGAATAGTGACTGGATCCTTCAAGAGATCCAGACAGATGGAACAGCTCAGTTTTTCTTGATCCAGCTGAATCACTTGCTGCGCCATTTCTCTTCCAGTTAAATTAAGTTTCACTTTCTGTTACCAGATAAAAGCTGCATTAATTTCCTCCTGACACTGAGACACTGATCCTGGTGTGTGGTGTTTTCAGCACTTGTATTTGATCACATGGTCTTTAGATCTACATTTTTACTGGCTGATGAGTGGAAGGGGAGGGAATGATAATTGTCTGAAGTGAACAGACTCTACCCACTTTATTTAGCCTTAAGTGTATATGCTACATATTATTCTAAGAGAAACTCAGTCAAATTAAAGCGATGCTCTTGCGAATGTGATTTTATCAGTAACACATTTATTCCGTTATCAATGATATAATAAACCATGAGATCAATATCAATACAAGTATACTCAGTTTCCACATATTAATTTCGACACTGTGTACTCTTACAGTGATACTTAGTCGGTATGATGCGATTCGGATTTCGAATACAAAAATTAAAGACTTTTGACATCATTTGACATCATACGCTATTTTTTCCCTCTGAATTCAGCTGTATTTATTTTGAAATCTTTATTTGTTTTAATTTGGTCAAGCAAGGTTAATTATGTATGTAACGTTATCATATTTAGATATTTCTGTAATTTAAAATGTATTCTTCATATTTATTTCCGTATGTTTTTTACTCCATTATTTATTATATCACTAATGACAGACTAAAATTGCAGGGAAATCACGTTCCCCTGAAGATCGCTTTTATTTTGAAATCGTTTCTCGGTTTCCCTTATTCATGGAAAATAAGGTGGAGGCTGTGCAGTAAACTTTAGGAAATAAAGCGACACTACCTGAAAAACCGATTATTATCTCTGAGTACCCAAACTGAACAGCACTTAAATGTCCGAGGAATGGTCTAGAAATATCTGGATTGGATCTCCTAGATAAAAATAAATTTATGGGTTAAATAACCATCCCGGAAGCCCCGTTTTCATGTGCATCGTTTGTTTTCTTCCGCCACAGAGCCGACCAATCGTTCCTATGAGTCCAACAGCATGCCTTCACTTCTCGAAATGTCGTGACAGCTTTTCATAATCGTGTTTTGCTCAGTAAATTTCAAAAATATGAAGGGAGTTTTAAATAAACTTAAATTATGGGTTGTCTTATTATTTTTGCTGCATCATGCGGATGTTTTCAGGTTTTCGTCTGCTCAAGGTAGGAGACTGACAGCTGCAGCTAGCCTTAATGCTAACAGTACAAACCTTTAATTATGAAATATAATGTTTGTATTAAGGTTGATAATTAACAGTAACGCATGATATTCTCTCTGTGTAATGTTTGACTAGTCGGTTAGTCCTTCAAATGGATTTAGGCGGCCGAAATAATGTGAGAGACGCTGTTTATTCTAACCAGACGTCTAAGCTGAACATTACGGTTACACACCAGTAAGTGCATGGCTTAAAGAAACCAACATGAAGGTTTTGAAGTGGCCTGGTCACAGTAACAGGCCGTTTATGCTTGAAAACTACTGATAA